AGTAAACAAAACAACGTGAGGTACATCCACGCTTATTGCCAACGCGGATGCACTCAGAATAATTTTGTAGCACCGTACACTTGATGATCCAGCCGCTCTTAATATCAGCACACTGGAAAGTACACAACCTAAATTAGTTTTAAGGCTTTAATAAACTCTATTTCCGGAATTCGTCCAACCCTCCATCCAATTATTAACTGGTATGCTTCGAAGTTAGAGTAGATTTTCACAGTATCTTATCATGAATTCAAAAAGTTTTGTTTGTTTTATTTCAGTAGCTGATTGGAGAGTGAGCAGTTGCGTAAGCATTCATTATTTTCATTATATGCTCCTCTCAATATTGTAGGATATAGCTCGTCCAAGTTTGGAAATCATGTAACCACCACATCACTTCCTCCTTTGTTCTCAACAGTGATCCCTTGCCATATCAACGTGCGATGTGGGGTGTGAGATGGACTGGCAGTGTAGGTTGTCAAAGCGCAGCACTAGCGGTGGTAGCGACTGATGGAAGTCCGTATCACATGAGGAAAATTTGATTTACTCCTTGCACAACATGTTAGCACGACCGCACCAAGGTTACCGATTCATGAAGAAGTTTCTTCTTAAGGCAAGATTCACGGTGATCCAGACGAAGTGGCGAAGAGAAGGCGGCGGCGCAAAAATCGGCGTGTTTAGAGGAGTAACGCTCCGAAAAAGGAGTAAAATCAGGGGTTGGACGAGAATGTCACGAAAAAAGCTGCATGGAAGGGGTATTTGAGGGAGCTGTTTGAATGCGCGCCATTGCATACAGCTGCCGCAATACGATGCCTGCGTGCAAGGTGAGGGTCCCGGTGCGAATATAACAATGCCTACAGCTTTCACCACACTTGCTAACTGATCTGTCAATCTTGCGCTCTATTACATCATATCTTGACTGTTTTCCAACCGACACCGTCCCCTAGGTTCTTCTTGAAAGTCACAGCTCTACCCTACAAAGAAATCTTAGAGACCATTCCCAACATGAATTGTACCTATAACTCGTGTATCAGCTATGACAAAACTCATTACCAAAAACCTGAAATCTCAACCGGTTGTTCTTATTCATAGGAATCAGAAAAGGCATAAATAGCGGGATGTCCAACGGCTTTTGTTAGTAGTGTTATCACGACGACATTATTGATTACTACTTAAGGCTTCTATCGGCTGATCAGGTTGCTTGAATCAAAAAAAGTAAGTAGTTGGCCCAATGAAGGGAAGAATCAAGTCCTCGAGGACGATTATAAAATGAGGATCAAAAACGACGGGTTGGTGCGTGGTCATAAGCATAGGTATAACCTTAAGCTAAACATTAGTTGCATTGCTCGGTTTAAGTCTAATTCCAACTGTGTAGGTTAGATGTCAAATATGTAGTGCCGATGCAAATCTAGGTATTTCCTCCAGAAGTTTTGTGATCAGAAAAACTTTGTTCTTAAAAGAGAAATGGCGGGTCAGTCGACGTTTTGTTCGGTAACAGATAGGAGGGAGCATCTGAGTACCTGAGTGATATGGCGAACTTTGGCTCCCAAAGGCACCTACTTTTAAAAGCTCCTGTAATGCCTTCTCGATTTCATAAATACCATCGGGAAGGAGTTGACCATACGTTCTCTACCTGGTCACCTCACCTAATACAATTGAAATCATTCCAAAGTGATGTCCACGAGTAGATCCACTATTCGGACAATGCTTCTTTGCCGACGCAACTGTAGCAGACAGAAGCAATTTCGAATTTCCATCTGTGTTCTCCTTCCACAGTTTACATGGGAAGTACTAAATTTTTTTCCTAGGAAGTCGAAGAAGAGGAGGAAACTCATGATCTCCTGATACATCATGTTCACAGTACCAGTCCATATTTCTCCCCAAATTCTTTTCGGGGCATTGGAGTTCTCGACAGCTATACCAGTTACAAGAATCGGCGCCGGAAGCGAAGGTGGAACATCTTACTGCAGTTCTAGTCAGAAGACACCTATATCTCATCTGGTACCAAGCAGTGCGATTCCTTTCGAGGAAGGAGTACGACTCACTGCGTTCAAAGTAAGTTAAAATGCAAGAGTTCACTTCGAAATACCGATTTGGGCTTCAGATGGGAAAAACTGACAATGGTGTAATGGTCCTTAAAGGCACACTTCACGATCATTTCAGGGTATCTAGAATTAGTTTCTTCGGGGTATTTAGTTTTAGTCGACTAGTGGAACTAATGGGAGAGATGGTGTAGTGGAAAAAGGCTCACTGTTGCACACACACGATCACGGGTTTGAATTCCGGATCGATATCCGCCTAGGCCAACCAAGCCTTCTACCCTCCGGGGTCGCTTAACTGGTATCACATTCGTCTGGGGAAATAAAAGCACTGACTTATACATTGGCTGATCACCGCAAGTCATTGGATATGCATTCAATACGTCATTATGATTCTGCATGAAAGTCGAATGGAGGGTGCATCCCTCAAACGGGATTGATTAACGCTCACAGGGTTTCAGACTTAAATGGAAGTGATAGTACAGGATAGCGCGAAAAAGGCGAAAATCGCATTAAAATTGGCATATTCAGAGAAATGTGATGCTCAAAAAAGTAGTAGATTTGGGTGCTGGACGAGAACGTGACGACACAAGTTGCATGGAAGGCGTAGCTGGACGAGCTATCCAAATGTGCATGCAATCGCGCGCAGCTGGCTACACTGAGCTGCCTACGTGTAGCGTGCGTCCCGGTGCAAATAGTGCAATCTGTACAGCGGATACAACGCCATGAGAAGTCGTCTGCCTTCGGCTGTTTACGCTGGATAACCA